ACAATTGCTCATTTGGGTAGGTTCCATGATCAACAAGTAGCTTTGCATATTCTTTTGGTAATAAAATAAAAATTTCGTTAAAAGAAAAGTGATTGGAAGTCGCCTAAGAGAAGAAATAAAAAAACTACATCCAACCATAGCTCAACTCCAAAACCTCAACTTCACAGCCACCAAATCCAAAGGACAAACTTTCCCAACCAAAAAAAAAAAAAACAAACTTATTACTATCAAACCTATCGTGACGCATGATTGATCTAATTGGGTCCTCAATCCTACAACTCAACAAATAAACTTCTAGACCAATCCAGAGTCAAATATATTAAATCCCTACACATGACAACTTATAAAAATAAAAAAGAAATCCTTAGACATGACAAAATCCAACAATACCTATTGTATAGGAACTATGGTCCACACCAACACAACAAAGAACAAAGTTGAACTTTGATGGGAGCTCTAGAGGTAGCCTGGGTCCTTCAGGTATGGGGGAGTATTTAAAGATGGAGATGGGAGAATTGTTTCTATGTTTTCAGGGCCAATAGGAGTCGGGGACTCATTGAGAGCGGAGGTGATGGCTTTGCTTCAAGGTGTAAGATTTGCCAAACAATTGGGTTTACACCAAGTTGAGAGAGAAGGAGACTCTAAATTTTTAATTGATTGGCTGCAATCAGGCAGGTTGGGAGCATGGATTTATAGACAGCCCATAAGGGAAATCCTCAATATAACAAGGGAGATTGGTGCTTGCTTCAAGTGGACAAGAAGACCAGCTAATGGCCTAGCTGATACCTTAGCCAAATAGGGGACTGTGAGGGAAAGCTTGTTCTGGGCAGTTTTGTAATTCAGATTACTTGGGCTCAATACCTTATTTCAGGGGTTGATAGTTGTATCTTAATGAAGTTACCGTTTCCAATAAAAAAGGGGGAGTACAAAGGAGACTAGGGGAGGGGTAAACTCTCTAAACCCTCCGCTAGAAAACAATAACTCAAATTACAAAATAGCCCAAAACAATAGTTCTTCCCACCCCTTGTTTAGCAAGAGTATCTGCAAAGGAATTAGCACTTCTTTTTACTCACTGTAACTGAATTTCCAAACCTTGTTCTTCTAGCCGGTTAAACATTCTTTTTTCATTAGCAAACTTCCATAGACCATTCTCTTCTTTTTGCAGCCATTCTATAACCAGTTTTGAGTCCCTTTCAACAATAAGCTTGTGACAACTCAGCTCCTTTGCCTTCTTCATTCCTTCCACCACTGCCAAGATCTTAGCTTGAAGTGAATCACCAACACCAATAGGACCGGAAAATGGAGCAATGACTTTCCCGCCCTCATACCTAAAAGTTCCTCCAATTCTGAAAGGCCTTAGGTTACCTTCGCTACTTCCATTAAAGTTCAGCTTGATAAATCCAGAAGCTAGAGGAGACCAAATGGGACTAATCTTGGTTTTGGCAGGGGCTGAATTAGCCACTTCCTCTGTCCCTAGAGCTTGTATTGATCCTCATAAGTTCCAAAATTGCATTCTTTTAAAAGATCTGACTTGCAGCCTCCTTTCTACCCACTTCTTGACCATTCTATACCTCTCTAGAAGGTTTCATTCTCCAGTTTATCTTTTTTCAGACCTTTCTCTTCCAGTTTTCTAAACACCTTCCTTGCACACTTTTCACTCCCCAAAAAGAATAGACCTAGTATTGATCCTCATAAGTTCCAAAATTGCATTCTTTTAAAAGATCTGACTTGCAGCCTCCTTTCTACCCACTTCTTGACCATTCTATACCTCTCTAGAAGGTTTCATTCTCCAGTTTATCTTTTTTCAGACCTTTCTCTTCCAGTTTTCTAAACACCTTCCTTGCACACTTTTCACTCCCCAAAAAGAATAGACCCAGTATTTTACTTGCCTCTACTTCTTTGTTTACAATCCCCTCTAGCATGAAGTGGGGCCTCATGGGAATGCCTTGTATGAGGATCACCTAGGCCAGAGGAAAGCATATAAAATATAAATAGAAAGTTGGAACCGGTCAGAAGTATACTGCTTTTCTACCTTGCCTGCTATCCTCTTGAATGGCAGGACATGAATCATACTGTTATCAAAAAAGAACAGGGGGATCCTTTGTTTCCTTTGCTGTTCACTTTGGTGGCTGAAATCATAAGCAAATTGTTTAAAAGAGCAGATGAGAGGAATTTGTTTCAAGGTTTTAGGGTAGGGAGACAGAATCAAGTGGTCTCTCATTTACAGTTTGCAGGTGACACTTTAATTTTGGGAGAACTTAGGAATGTAGAGGATGTGAGAACTATTAGGATGATTTTGGAGATTGTGGAAAAAGTCTCAGGGTTGAAAGTGAATCTAGCAAAGTGTAGCTTGGTGGGGATTAATTTGACAAGGGAGGAGTTGCAGGATGTACCGTTGTTCTTGGGTGTGGAACCCAAGAGTGTCCTTCGAAATACTTGGGACTTCCTTGGGGGGGAGGGGATCCTAGTGAGAGGAGTTTTGGGATGGGGTGTTGGAGAGATTTCAGAAAAATTTAGCTTCATGGAAAAAGAATTATATCTCAAAAGGGGGTCAGGTCATTTTAATTAAGTCTACTCTTTCTAATCTTCCAACTTACTTTTTGTCAGTTTTTAAAGCTCTTAAAGTGGTGCAAGAAATGGAAAGGCTAATGAGGAACTTTCTGTGGGATTCAGGTGGGGGTGCTCATAAAAACCATCTCCTGAAGTGGGATTTGTAAATCTAGAGAACGGGGGGTTTGGGGATAGGAAGATTAATTACAGAGATTCCCTAAAGAGACTGAGCATTGTGGCATCAGTTATTAAAAGCATTTATGGGGTACACCCAAATGCTTGGGACACTGGACTAGCTAGGGTGGCTAGTGTAGAAGCCCCTCAAAAGTGATCTGTCTTTACTTGCCAATTTTTTTACAACATATGAGATATGATGCCGTCACAGGATGAAAGGTGAAGTTTTGAGAGGACCTGTGGAGGGGGCATTCTCCTTTTTGTCTCCCTTTTCCTCGAATTTATAACTTATCCAACTTCAAAGACAAAACTTCAGTGTGTGATGAGAGAGTTTGGTCACCCAATGTTAAAGGTTTTTACTCTTGTGCTTCTTTCTTTAGAACCTTTCTTCCTACACTTGAGCCTCCTTCCTTTCCTTCTAGAGAATTGTGGTTTTGTCTGATTTGCCCAATAGTCAAGATTTTCTGTTAGGAAGCTGCCAACCAAATCACAGATACCAAGAGAGGCTTCAAAAGAAATGGAAGAACTGACACTTGTCTCATGTGTGTGTGTTGTGCTTGAAGAGTGGGGAGTCCACCAACCACTTGGTTTTGCTCTGTCCCTTTGCAGATCAATCATGGAAGCATTTTTTATCTTTATTGGGAAAGAGTTGGGTTGCACCAAGGGAGGTTGTGGACCTGTTCAAGACAGATTCAATTAGTTTTACTACTCAGAGACAAAAGGTCCTTTGGAAGTGTTGAGAGGGGCAACTTTGTGGGGGTTGTGGGCTGAAATAAATGCAAGACTGTTTGAGGAAAACTGCAAGTCTGTTGAAGAGATGTTAGAGTTAACAACAATTAGGGTGACGCATTGGACACTAGGGATAGAGGAATTCAAGGGAGTTTCCATGAATGATTTGCTGAGGGGATGGCAAACTTTGGCTGCTTTTTAGGTTAGAAAACAACAAAGAGTGCTGGATTGGAATCCTCCTGAAGCGGGTGTAATTAAGTTCAGTTTTGATGGGTGTTGTCTGGGGAACCTAGGGCCGTCTGGGTTAGGGGGTGTAGTAAGAGAACAGCAAAGCACTGTTATTCTCAGTTTTACAGGCCCAGCAGGAGAGGGTATCTCTCTGAGGGCAGAGTTGTTAGCACTGATTCAAGGTTTAGAATTGATACAACAGCAGGTGTGGAAAGATGTTGTAGGAGAAGGGGACTATCAAACTGTGATTCCTCATTCAATTGGGTTCCTAGAGTGCAAATATGGTGGCAGATGCTTTAGCAAGAGCAGGGGTGGGGAAAGAGGTATTAGAATGGGGTTGCCTGGGGCTGGGTTGTACTAGGTAAAGATCCTGGGTTGTTGCTTCTTGTGTTTCTTTTTTGTTGTATAGATTTTGGTGTATTGTTTGTTTTGTCTTTGTCTCCATCTACTTTGTACTTTGAGGCCTGCTGCAGTTCGGCAGCTAGGCTTTCTTTAATGAAAGTTTCCTGTTATTTATCAAAAAAAAAAAAACACTTGTGTATTTGAGTCCTAATTACTTGGGATTCGTTATTGATTTATAGGTAAGAGCCTTAGTTTAAGGCCTTTGGCTTATGGCTGCATTTTAGCTTTCAGCATCTGGCATTGAAGGTTACTCACAGGAGCAAGAAGTGAAGTGAAGCCCCTTGAATATTCAGACATTATGCTGTTGAGCTAGAGTTCTGGCATCTAGTGTAAAAGCATTTTTCAGAAAGTTGTTGAAGGTGACCAAATTTTCTAGCGAACTGTCTAGCTAGAAATGTGGTAGAGACTAGAGAGGGTGGAGTTGTATATTGGGTACAACCTTCCCACTGTTACAAAATGTTAGTTGCCTTTTCATTAGTTCTTTTGGACTAACTAGTTCTAGATAGCTTTGTTTTTGAAAGGCTTAGTTTCTGGCTTTTCTTTTGGGACAATTAGATTTTAGTATTCTTTCTTTCAACTTCCTGATTAACTATGATACCCGGATACCTGTGCAAGGGTGCTGTGTTGTGTCAGATGCTTCAATTTTTAGTGTAAATTTCATATCCAATACTCTATCCAGCTGTGTACTGCTGTATTTGGGGTAAGATAACTGATTAATAATACTGTTTGATCTGGTTATTAATAAAGAAGGTAGCTTAGTGTTTTACATACCTATTTATGACCTTTTTCTTGTCTCTTCTCTTCTGGGCTGGGAAACTGAGACTATACACGAATTTTATCTGTATCATAAAAAAAATTGAGATATATATGTACAATACTGGACAAGTGTTAATCTCTTTGATGTTTTTATGTGGCAGGTGTTGATTTGTTAAATCTATAGTGACTGGCATTATGGGCGGCTCTGGAAAGTGGCTTAGAACATTGGTTAGTTTAAGAAAATCAGAAAAGCCACACTCTTCAGAGAAGGAAGGAAATGTGAGTAGAATAATCTTATGCATATGTCTTATGTTCTTAACATGAATTTCATCCTTTTTGAATAACCAAAACAGTGTTCAAGCTGCTCTTATCTTGTATGGCATTCGGAAACTCTGTAGAAGTACAATTGGATGCTGCTTCATTTTTTTAGGGTCTCTTTTCTAATGTAAATTATTAAATTAAGAACTTATAGTTCACAAATTGTCACCCTTGAATGATGTTTCTCTTCATTTTCTACTTGATTCTTGCTGAGCAAAGTGCCATTAAGGTGATCAGTGACCAGATCAATGTGCTTGTTGATGCAAAAGCATATAATCTTAATTGAATCTTGTGACATACACATTGACTTTGACAAGTTGTTTTTCCTAGTGGATTGCTGAGAATCCAGAATCTGAATCATGTTCAACTTCTGGAAGTTTCTTATATGCACAACGGTGACAATTGAATGGAATATGAAAAAGAGTTGCATTCTTATGCACTTGCTTCTAACTGAATTCATTAATTTGAGCACTTTCGATATGCTGCTTGAATTCTCAAGACTTGGCCTGTGCAATGTCTATTCCCTATATTTACTGGTTGTTCTCATAGTTTTCAAGGTGCCAAGGCGAGGCTAGGCGACAGGGGGGCGACTTGTGCCTAGTCGCCTAGGCGAAGGATTTTTTTAAGTAAAAACACGTATCCTATGGTAGTTCCTTAGGTTCCATAATCATATTTCCTTAATAAATATCCATAATTTTCATAAGAAAAGTATAAACTTCATGTTAAAGTATAGAAAATCAACATATTCCAACATATTCATGAGAAGAAAAAGAAGAAAGAAAAGAAAWTTHRAAAAATRWAGRGGYTKAACCCCTATTTCTGTTATAGGAAAAGAAGAAAAGAAAATAAGAAGGTTTTGAAGTCTTTGAGTGTTCAGTACAGCATTTAGCAATGTTTGTGTTGATTAAACCCTAACAAATAAGAAAATAATAAAAAGAAATTAGTATATTAACACACAAAATGAATATTTTAGTAAAAAAATTAGGAAAATAAAAGGTTTTTATAACACACTATAGAAAACTACTTGGCAATTAGGCGAGGCGAGCCTCCAAGGGCGCCTTGTCACCTAGGTGCCCGCCTAGGTGTCGCCTTGGCAACTATGGCTGTTGTATTGATATAATGGAAAATTTGAGCAATTAGTTAGTAGGATTATACTTGGATATGGCATTTGTTTCTCCTTGAATATTTAGTGTTATTCATCTTTTGTATGTTGCTTAGATTGTCAATTTCCCTCATTTGCTAAGAAGTCCTAGCAGAAAGACTTGCTAGAGGGACCTATAAGGCTCATATGGTTCCACTCCCAAAGGGACTACATCTTGCTTGAGTTGTTTAGACAGCTCATCAAACTTCTTAAGGGATTTATAAATTGATAAATAATTTTATTATCTCTTTTTGTCATCCTTTTTCCTTTTTTGGGGTTCTATCTCATTCTTGGATGATGCAGAAGACAGCAACTGGTAGCCGGTTTTGGCACCGGAGAAAGCAGTCTGTGGAGATTGATAGTGACATTCTTAATGATGAGTTTGCCCAGAATACAGCTCAGCTCACTAGGGGTGCTACTGGCCAATCAAACTCAGAGAGTGCCAGCTCCCCTGCCAGCTCATTACAAGTACAGCCAACGGCACACATTGAAAAGAATATGAAAGAAGAATGGGCTGCCACACTTATCCAGACAGCTTTTAGAGGATTTCTGGTATGGGAACCTCTATCTTTGATTGTATAGCAATCACTTGTTATTTTGTTGATATCTGAAAAACTCTTCCTTTAGACTCAAAATCTTTTTTTTTTTTTGACTGGTAACTTCCAATTTTATTTTATTGATTTGAAATAAGAATAGTATATTACAGAAAGGTTGTGCAGAACACCCCAATAATTCAAGGTTGTTTGTCCCATCCTATGCTTCTATTTATGTTATATTTGTGATTCCCCAATATAATTCACCGTGATTTACACAGTATCTACTATCTAGCTAAGGAACCCACTAGACTATTTGCTGATTGATGAGTTCAGAAAAAAGATGCTCCCAACTCCCTGATTAAGCTCCTTACCTCTTTTGTTGTATTTCTATGCTGCCATGTTCCTAGAGTATCATTAAGAAGCCAGCTTATGATCACCTTAGAATCTCCTACCACAATAGCTGTTTTGCCATTCTCAACCCTTGTAGTACAGCTAATAATTCTTCTCTGGTTGAGTCTCCTTGTCCCATCAGTCCAGAAAATATTCCCTTTGTATGTCCTTGATTTCTGAAAGCTCCTATTCTCAGTTTTCCTGGATTTCTCAATGCTACAACTAATAAAGTGAGTTTTATTTGGGTTGACAGTGGAGGAATCCAACTCATTATCCTTGGCACCCTTCTTGTTGATGTAGAAGCAACCCGTAGCCAGCTTCTAACAATGTCATTTACTGAAAATGCTTGGAACAGACTTAGACTTCTCAGCCAATGAGCAATCTTCACTGTTATGTTCTCAGTCAAAGCCTCTTTGGTGTGAGATGAATCCTTAAATATCCTGGAGTTCCTCTCTTCCTATAGTGCCTAAAGAACTTGCCCTTGTGCATCTCCAAAGTATTTGCACTCAATATTATTACCAGAAAAAATGTTGGAAATGAAGTGGCAGTTTTGGACCTGGAGCATCCAGATTTACATGAAAAGGAATCTATATGCAGTAATAGTTATACTCATAACCTTCCTTATGATGTACCTACCATACAAGGAGCTGGACGAATGAAAGGAAGACCTAATCTTCTTTGGTAAGAGGCCAAAGAATCCACAGCACTTTTAGTTTATCTCCACATGAACAGAAGTACAAGAAGGAATTAGCAATATAACATCATCAATACAAGACTGAACTTTCCTGGGATCCCAAGGCCTAGATCTATACACATTATAATGCATTGTTATATGTGAATCAGTAGCAACAAGTAGACACCAATCTCAACTGCATAAGAAAGAAAACAGCCATCCGATTATTTAACACAGCATCTTCTTCTGGGTGCTTTCACCAAAAGGATGTTGGGGATTAGTTATCATATTTGGAAAGAGATGTACACTTAATTCTAGGAACTCTCTACTGGTGCTAATTTCTGCCAATCCCTTTTAATGACCACAAACAGAGATGTTTTTGTATAATTGATAGTTATAGGCATGGTTTAAAGTATCGATACGATACGCCCCGTATCGGGCATATCATATCGTATCTTTTGAAAAAGATACACCCCCGAAACACCTGTTAGTGTTTCGGGAACCCCACCTTTTTTTAATAAAAAAAACCTATTTTTAGCTTCCCAAAAACCAAGATTTGAAAAAAAAAACTAAAAAAAAAGTGTTTCATGTGTTTCTAAGTACCGATACGATACTGCCGATATATGCAGTAGCGTATCGATACTTTGAACCTTGGTTATAGGTAAAAATAAGCTCTTCAGTCAAGAGTTTATTCTCAAAACTTTACTTATTCTTTTCTAAGATACACTTACATTAAAGGGAACATATCTGATTTCAGCTAAAGTGTCTTGGTCCATCCAATGTTGATCTAAGGACCAGCATTAAAACTTATGCTGAAGTGGTAGCAGGTGTGTGAAGTGGGCACTTCAAGAAATCTGAAAAGACGCATAACTCTAGACTGGTGGTTGCACTGAGAAAGAAAGCCGGTCTAGGTGGTTCTTTCCTACAATCACATATACACTTAAAGGGTCAGGTGGCTGGTCGAATTAGAGTGGTGGGGGACACCTCCTATGGTCTATCATCTTCTTGAAGCTCCTTCCCCCCCAAGATGCAACAACAGTACTTTGTTTTGGGGACCTGTCTAAAACCTCAAGCATGGTTTAAAGTATCGATATGATATGCCCTGTATCGGGCGTATCGTATCGTATCTTTTGAAAAAGATACACCCCCGAAACACCAGGTGTTTCGGGAACCCCACCTTTTTTAATAAAAAAAACCTATTTTTAGCTTCCCCAAAACCAATATTTGAAAAAAAAACTAAAAAAAAAAGTGTTTTGTGTGTTTTTAAGTACTGATACGATACTGCCGATATGCAGTAGTGTATCGATGCTTTGAACCTTGACCTCAAGAACATCACTCGAGGCTGACGGATTGCAATTTTTCCTAGAAGCCAGTGTCGAATTCTAATGCCACAACCCTGGACAAGCCCAATCCAAAGTTTTTTAGGGCTACAAGCGAAGAGAGAGGCTAGTTGATCGTTATCTTCTTGATCCAAGAAAAGTTGGAACTCACCTTCCACACTACCAATGCTAGATGCATCCTCTGACAAACGTTCTTCTTTAGAATCACCGTAGTTGATCCAGTTCTCATCCTCTTCATTGTCCCTCCAAGCTTCTTTAGTTCTTGCAGAACAAGGGTTGGGTTTGTCTTGGGAAGATGAATGATGTCTAACCCATTGTAACAGTCCAGACTTTGCCCTTGCAAGCTGTTCAAAATCGATGGGGTCGACGATGGACCAAAATTACTGTCCCCCATCAAGCCTCCCCTACCACCACATGTGAAATTTAAGTTATCACATGAGGTTGATCTAAGGGCTAGGTTGCCAGTGCTCCACCCCCAGTTCTTTGCCTTTCTTGCCTGACTAAACCTCCTCTTAGAGCATCCACGTAGGATTTTGGTCCTCCCATCTTAGCCCATTTGAATAAATTCAATTTGTTTTGAAAACCCAACTTGAATAGGCAAGATGGAGCCTTCATTTACCCTATTTGATGTTCCACCTTCCCTAAAAGGTTTCTCTCCCACTACCTCCTATCTCTATCACTTCCTCCCATAGTGTCTCTTCAGCTTCCGATGCAATCTAGATGTTCTTCCACCTCCTGCCAGTGAACATCTCAATCAATCTCTGTATTCTATTCGGTTTGGACCCTACAATCTTTATTCTCGCTGCATGAAGTTCAGAGATATCTATTGCAACAAGACAACCTCCACTAATGGCAGCCACTTGTTTGAAGACTTCATTTGTCCAAAGATTGAAGGGAAGCCTAACAATTTTAACTTGGAAGGTTCCATCCTCAAGTTCCTTCTTGCTGCAAGATGGATTCCAATTTTTGATCATTGCCTTCCCCTCAGGCCCTCACAGGTGTTCACTCTAGTGATTTCCTCCTAGGGGCTACCCAAGTCAAGAATGGCTGTCTTCAGCAAATGGAATAAGAACTGCCTTCTCAATCTTAAGTGCATGATTGAGAAGGTGCAAAATTAAAAAAAAAATTCAAAAAATATGTAAAAAATTGCAAAAATTCAAAATAAATTAAAAAAATATAAAAATAATATTAATTAAAAAATACAAACTTTAATTTTAAATTAAATATTTTAAAAACCTTATTAGTTCAAATTAAAATACATACCCATAACATATAAAACATATTCAAAGTGAAAATGCACACAATAAAATCAAATATAACATATAAAATATATTCAAATATGTAAAACTTTCAATCTTTGTTTCTTTCCTAATTGCACTATTGCAATAGATAATATGATGTTAAACATATTTCATTCCTAATAATACAAGCTGCTTTTGTACCAACTACCAAGCCCCTTGAGTCAAGCCCAAACAAATCCATGTTAGGGCCTTAAATTCTTACTCCCTACAAAAAAAATGGTTTTCTGATTTTAATTATCTTTTAGAAAATCTCCTATATTAAGAAGAATGGAAGAATGGCATTAGCAAATAGGGGGTTCTCAGATATTTCTAAAAGATAGCTAAAATTATAAAACCTTTTTTTTGTAGGGATTTAGAATTTAAGACCCTAAAATAGATCTGTCTAGGCTTGCCTCAAGGGGCTTGGTCGGGGGTGGAGCCCCCGCCCAGCCACCGTGCTTCAGAAAAAGAAAAAGTGTAAGAATTTATGAAGGTGTGTGTGCCTGAGCTAAGGCGCAAAACATACCAGGCACACATCTAGGCACACTAGGTGTGTGCTTGTTCAGAGGGGTTGCACTTGGGCCTAGGCAAGTTGCAGACCCTAAAATGCACTTGTGCGCCTAAAAAGTCAACACCATAGGATAGCATGAATAACAATCTTCCACACAATAGAGCCTTCTTTACATACAAAATAGGACAGAATACTCCGGTAGATCAAGACAAATTGTGGACAAAAGTGATTAAGAGCATTCACGGGCTGACGGCAGATGGCTGGGACGTAGGAATTTCGGCCAGAGCAACGGCAGCAGCACCTTGGAAAGCCATCCATGCCATTCTTCCTTGTTTTCTGCCTTTTGTCAGGTATAACTTGTGTTCTGGAAACATGTAAGGTTTTGGGAACATGTGTGTGTGGGGGAGACACCACTTGAAGACCAATTCCCTTCCCTGTTCTCCCTTTCTAGGTACCAAAACTTAATTGCCTCATCTTTAGTTTCATCTATTGGTTTAGGACCTTGCTTAATTGGGATTTGGGTTTCAGACGAGGTCTCAGAGATTCTGAGATGGAGTTGGTGTGGTCCCTGGTTCAAGTACTTCAAAAGGTCTTCTTAGAACCGTCAAAAGGGGATTCCTGGATTTGGTCCCTTTCCTCTTCTGGCTCTTTCAGTTGTGCCTCCTTTTTCAATGCCCTAGCTCAACCCTCTCTTTCTCCTGCCATTCCCTTTCCTTCTAAAGAAGTGTGGGGAAGACTGGTCCCATCTAGGGTTGAAGCACTTTGTTGGGAAATAGCTTTGGAAAGAATTAATACTTGTGATCAACTTCAAAGAAAGAAGCCTTTTTGGTGCTTGTCCCCGCATTGGTGTACCCTTTGTAAAGCCAATGGTGAGTCTTGCTCTCATTTATGTATATCCTTCCCTTTTGCTTCATCTATTTGGGAGTGGTTTCTCTCTTTATTTGGTTGTAGGTGGACTCCCCCGTCAAGCATTTGAAGCTTCTTCACCTATTCAGTTGGTAGCCAGATCAAAAAGAGGGGAAAAATTTTATGTAGGTGCACCAGGGCAGCAGTTTGTTGGACAATCTGGGAGGAAAGGAACCAAAGGATATTTGCTGAAAAAGAAAGACACAATTATAGAAGTGATTATGTTGAGGGTAGCACAATGGGTAAAAACAATGAACCTATTTGATGATGCTCCAATATAGACCATTGTGAACAACTGGCAGGAAATAGCAGTCTCGGCTCCAAGCAGAAGCAGTGTTCATCCTTTGTGGCACCCTCTGATGGAAGGTTTTATCAAACTCAACTTTGATGGGAGCAGTGAAGGAAATCCAGGGCCATTAGTGGTTGGTGGTGTTTTCAGAACAAAGGCAGGTTCAGTAATAGCCCTTTTTTCAGGACCAGTTGGAGTTGGAGACTCATTGAGAGCAGAAATTATGGCCCTCTTGGAGGGGGTAAAAAGGGCTAAGGAGCTGAATATAAATAGGCTGATTATCGAAGGAGATTTGCAAGTGGTAATTGACTGGATAGAGAAGACAAATGATGGATTATGGGGGCCTACATTAATGAACGAAGGCAATTCAAGTGGCTAACTCAAGGAATGGATGTGTGTGTCCAATGGGTTAAAAGATGTGCCAATTCATTTTCAGATGCTTTGACTAAACAGGGGGTGGGAAGAAGTCATTTGTTTGGGGCTATACTGTAATTTTCCTTTTGGGGGTGAGGTAAGAGGGTTTACCTCCCCCCTCCTTTGTATTTAAACCTTTTTCTTAACTAATGAAAGTCTTCTGTTACTGATAAAAAAAAACACAATACTCATGGTTAATAGTATTTTTTAAACCTTTATCATACCAAATAGGACTACGATGTAGCTTGGTTGTTAATTAAGAATCTTACTATCAAATACCATTACAAAGTTTGCCTCTAAATTGCCTTTTGGTTATTAGTCAGAGTCTTATCATCATTACAACTTTATTTTAGACACTTGTAGGAACATCTAAGCTAGCTAAAACCTTATGTTGCTCATCTTATTTTACTAATTTTCTTTTGTTTTTTTTGGAAATTTCAGTTGTCTTCAGCATGATAATATTGAAATAGAAATTCAGTTCTTGTTTTCCTGATTTTATTTCTCAGGCTAGAAGAGCATTGCGAGCTCTGAAAGGATTGGTAAGGCTTCAAGCCCTTGTCAGGGGTCATGCTGTAAGAAAGCAAGCTGCAATAACCCTTCGTTGCATGCAAGCCTTGGTGAGAGTTCAAGCTCGTGTCCGAGCACGACGTGTTCGCATGGCATTGGAAAGCCAAATGGCAGAGCAGAAACTTAAGCAGCAACTTGTACATGAGGCTCGTGTTAGAGAAATAGAGGTATATTATCCAAGTATATTATAAAACTAACCATATTCTTTCCCCCAKTTTCTTGAACAATGATGCTTGTTTATGTTGTATCAATCATGGTTGCTTGAAGTTCCTTATTTTCTTTATCTCCTTGCATGAGTAATATCTGAATTGTTATTTTTGTTGTTTACTATTATTATATTATAATTATGTTGGGAGATTATGAAATTATTATTATATTGTTGTTTCAGTTTGTTTAATTAGAGGTATATTATCCAAGTATATTATAAAACTAACCATATTCTTTCCCCCAGTTTCTTGAACAATGATGCTTGTTTATGTTGTATCAATCATGGTTGCTTGAAGTTCCTTATTTTCTTTATCTCCTTGCATGAGTAATATCTGAATTGTTATTTTTGTTGTTTACCATTATTTTATTATAATTATTTTGGGAGATTATGAAATTATTATTATATTGTTGTTTCAGTTTGTTTAATTAGGGTCCTATGATTTATCGTGTTAGGAATTGATGATAACTGTTACTATTCGGTGTTTGATTGCCAATGAATGTTTGCAAGTAATTAAGAGGGCAGGGAATAAAGGTGGGCATGCAAACTGATCTAGAAAATGGATCCAGTTTTGGGGTAAGAATTTCACAAAGGTTGGTTGGGCATCGCTAGATTCATCAGGTGTGAGTGAGAGATGTTGGAAAATGGATCCAGGTTTTAGGGTGCCCATGATGGGTCGACCTGATCTGATCCAACATAAAAAAGAGGGAAGGTTGAGGAGTTGTGCATAGTTAAGTAAATGCTCACAACTCCCCAACGTGTTGGGGGAGTTACAACTCCCACGCAACCTCCTAAATAGAGAAAAGTGGAGAAGTGTTGGTCTCTCTTGCTATTGACTCAACCAAGGATCGAAATTTCACAATGTATTTGCCGATACGTATTGTATCAGCAGGCCATTGATAATCTAAATAATGCTCTTTTGGGCTTTCAACCAGTTTCAAGGGGTAGGCAGGCTTAAGACCGACCCCTTGACCTATTTTTGAAAAAAACTAAAAAAATGGGAGGTTTGTGATTGAAACATCTGATATGCACTGTCTGACGTATAGGGTGTATCAAGATTTTGAACCTCGGGGTCAAACCTTGATCTTGGATTTTGCTTCAAAGAGATAATCCATTTGCCTCTTGCAATTCTTGATATTCGATAACCACCATGATGGATTTGTTAGCCTACATTAAATAGTTGGGAAGGGGTCATGTTGTACCAGCATGATAGAGTTGCTTAATAATCATATCGAGAAAGAGAAGGTTTACTAAAATATTTTTACCTAAGCAAGTGCCTCTTCATGGAATAGTTGCAATGCTATAAGTGTACCATTGAGTACATTGCATGAGCAAGTAATGAAACACTAACAGAACTTCAGAAGCATAAAAGATTAAGCCATGCAACTTTCTATGTTTTCTTTTATTGTATTTGTGTGTGTGTGTGGATAAGGAGCACAGTTTCTAATCATGTAGTTGGTGGATGTAAAATTTCTGTCAACTTGTAGACTTAAATTTTGAGCCGTGGCCTTATTGTTCATCTAGTTGTGTAATTCTTATTTGATTTGATTTGATACCCTAATGCAGGAAGGATGGTGTGATAGTATTGGGTCTGTGGAAGATATTCAAGCTAAGCTAATAAAGAGGCAAGAGGCTGCAGCTAAACGTGAGAGAGCCATGGCATATGCTCTGGCTCATCAGGTGATTTTTTTTTTAACTTGATCAGTTAACTTAACGCAATGACTGTCAATTGGCAGACAAATGCCTCAGAATATCCAAGTTATGCATTCATCATCCTGTTTCACCATTCCATTCTGTTCAGTGCCATATCCAGTGTTTGGTAGTATTGGTTTTCTTAACTCAAAAAAATCATATGTTTTTTATGAATAAAGAAATTTTTTATTACTTCAAAAGATAATAGGGAGCTTTAAACTCATACAACAACCCTTGCAGCCTCTCTCAACTGATTACAAGGAAACTAGAAAGTAAAACAAGCATTACATCTGAGCCCAAAACAAGACTTACCTATTTGTCCCTTGCTTAGCTAAACCATCAGCCAAAGCATTTGCTGATCTCCCCATCCATTGTATGATAACAGATATATTCCTTGTCAGCACTTAAATTTTTTTACTCCATTCCTGTAGCACCATATAGTATCCTCAGGGTTCTACCACCCCACCCTAGATGAACACCTTGCTACTGCTGACCAATTTCTCCATTAATCTGGAAAGGAGAAATGATGGAAGTGTTCTAAGGTCTTTAACCAGTGAATTGCACAGTGAGAGTGCAACTAACTCGGTTTGATTTGTTTAAGACAAGTCCACCTTTTTTTTTTTGATAATTTAAGCCAAGCTTGCCTTGAAATCTTAGTTGCTAAACCTGGATCCTAACCAATTTGGGGTGTGTTGGGTTGGGGCTTGAATAGCTATTTTTACTATGTATGCCAGATTTAAGTTGTCCATTGTTAGAAATATAAATGTATATGGAGTAGAGTAACTGGCAAGGTATTTCCATCCATTTAAATTATTTAAGTGGGGTATTCTGATCATTGTACTTGTACTCAGGTATCCTAATATACGTACCTCTTTCTCTTCTCTACTCCCTTTCTTTTCCCAATTTATTTCATGTCTGACTGCAGTTTACATTACATGCTATTGGAGCACATTTAGTAACCTGCGATCTGGTCTCTCTATTCTCCATGTTCACCAAAACCTCACCTTGCATTTGCATATGTCCCATGGTTAATTTGGTGCAAGTACTTCGTGAAGGCAGTTATGCTAGGCTGCATGTATTTCTGATCAGAGTTCTCAGGTGTTTCTGTAAAGGACCAGTTATATATATATATATATATATATATATATATTGAAGTTGTATTGTTATATGGTGTGTTTCTCAGTGCTTGTTTTTCAAAGAAATCAGTACTGAAATTGTTTTTGGAAGGGATAACATCTTGTGGTGGTTTAAAGTCTGGACTATTGATGAATGGAGATTTTCTTTTTTTATTTTTTTTGATAGGGAGGGTAACTTTCATTAGCTTAAAAGTAAAATACAACTGTCACCAACAGGGACAAAGGTGACCCCTCATCATAAATCAAATTACAAAACAGCCCAAAACAAAGACTCCCGATTTACACCTTACTTTGCTAGATTATCAGCTAAAGCATTTGCTGACCTCCTAGTCAATTTAACATGTGCACCCAGCTCCCTTATGAGTCTCAATAATTCCCTTACAGGTTCTCTAAGGGGCCACGTTCAAAACTATTTGTTTGCAGCCTGCCTACTAATTTTGAGTCTCCCTCCACTTCTAACTGTTGAATGCTCAATTGCTTAGCCAATTTGAGCCCCTAAAGGAGGGCCATCACTTCTACTCTAAGCGAGTCCCTCACCCCTATCGGGCCAGAATACATGGTGAAAAATATGTACCATAGGCCAAATCTAAACAAGTTTTCTTACAGCCAAAGGAAAACTAAAATATTTAAGTTGTTCTAAATTCAAGGCTAATTCTAATGGATTTAATGGGTGGTACAAGAAAATGCACAGATAATGACATGGTTATGGAATCGTATGAATCTCAAGATTAGCATTAATCTTATGATTTTGGATACTGCAAAGGAGATTTGGGAACATGTTCAAAGATTGTTTTCTGGGCAGAATATTGTCACTAGGCTGTGTCAATTTTATGAAGATTTTTTTTTCTTTAGCAGAGTGACAGAAGTATGGAAGAGTGTTGTGTTGCTTTGAAAACCTGAGGAATGAGTTGTGTACCAACCTCTTGTTATAAATTTGAGGGTACACCGGTACAGCTGTTGGAACATTTGGATGTGGCTCAAATAAGTCTTTGATTTGATCGAGTATAAACCCCTCTTTGCATTTGTAGACTTTGGAGGTTTCCCTTGTATAAAGTGATGCCTTATTATTATTGGCATTTAATTCTAGTTGTTTTTTGGGGTGCAGGATGTAGGTTGCATGATGATAGATGTGGTACTAGAGGAGGTTGTGCTCCTTGGAACTATTGGTGTAGGATGTGGTAGTGGTTAAGATTTAGGGGGAGGATGTGGCAGAGGAGGTCGCGGTGGTCCTCAAAAGTGTTCTTATTGTAGGTTAGATGGACATATAGTCAATTTTTGCTATCACCTTTATGGCCCATCTTCTAACTGGGCTAATCACGCAGTCACCACAGAGGATCTAATTGGAAATGCTATGTGAGAAGTGAGTGCCTATTACCCTTGAAGAGCATGAAAAAATTCTTTCATTTGACTCCATCAAGTGACATTACCAGTCTGGCTAAGTCAAGTAATGCTTGTCTTGCTTTGCATTCATCTTAGTGACTCGGTCTTCTTTTTTGGTAAAGGGTCTCAGTCTCCTACATGTGTTGTTGCTTGTGGGGTTTCAAATCATGACTGGATATCTATGTGTGTTTACTTCCTTTTCTCAGCTGTTGTTGCTTGATGGTACTACATCTCCAGTATCTGGTGTAGGTAGCTTCTCTCTTAATTTATTTCTTTCATTATCATTTGTTTTGGAAATTCATATAACCTTTTTCTCTGATCTCTGTTACTAGAAGTCTGTCTATGATGTTGGAAAGGCATGATACCTGAAAAACTTATAACCAATCAACCGGTATCATAAAAAATGGTAACCAATTAGCTGGTTTTCAACAAAAACCATTTGAGGAGGGGGGTTGATTGGTCAAAGTTCTTCCGGTATCATATCTTTCTTGCATCATAGATATTGCCTTGTTAGTAAGTTGACTAATCACTAAGGCTGTGTTTGGTTTGAAGGAAAAGGTAGGGACTGTACAAACCTTGTACAGCTTTCAGTGATTTATAAGGTGTGCCTAGGTGCATAGGTGAGGCGCATTTTAGGGTATGTGCGTCGCCTAGGTCCTAGGCGCAGCATTTCCAAAAGGTGCACGCCTGGTGTGCCTTTTTAGAACTTTGCACTTTTTTTGCTTTTTTTGAACCTAGCGGCTGGGCCAGAGGCAGATACCATGCCCCTTGAGGCAAGCCAAACAATCCATGTTAGGGTCTTAAATTCTTAATTTTCACACAATGTTGTTCATTCATTCATCCTAATCAAATATCTTCTTAAAAGGCAATTAAAATTATAAAATCATTATTTTTTTTGTGTGAGAATTAAGAATTTAAGATCCTAAGATGGACTTGTTTGGTCTTGCCTCGAGGGGCATAGCACAAAGGCAGCTCATAGAATTAGGAATGTAATATGTTTTACATCACATTATCCACTTGAAGTAACGTAATTGAGGAAAAAAAGATATTGTGGGTTTTACATGCTTGAAAATGTTTTATATGTTTGTTTTTATTTTTAAATTTTCATTTGAATACACTTTACATGCTCTGTCTATGTATTTTAATTTTAGATAATAGGTTTTTTAAAACATTTATTTTAAAATTTAAGTTTATATTTTTATTAATATTATGTTTAATATTTTTTGATTTTTTGCATTCTTTTTTGAATTTTTTGAATTTCTGGCTTTTGTTTTTTTTTTTATTTTTTGTATTTTTGTGCCTTGCTTCAAAAATGCACGCACCTTGCCTTGTGCCTTGTGCTTCGGGCACAAATTGCCCCTTGCGCTTTTAAAACACCAGGTTTCCCTCTACCTTTCCCTTCCTTTCCCTACCTTTTCTTTCAAATCATACACAGCCTAAATCTCTTCACTGTTTTATTACTTTCTTTCCTTCCTATTCTTTCTATGCTATACATGAGGAATCCGGGTCTCTTGAATAGGTGGCTATGCAATTAAAAGATGAATCGAGTCCTATTAATTTTAGAGCATTGTTCCTTTCTTGATGTGTAACTCACATATGCTTTCCCTTGGAACCTTATCCTGTTACTTTTATGTTTCCTTACTGATGGTTGTACATCTCTTTTCCTACAGTGGCAGGCAGGACCCAGGCAGCAGTCGGCCCCTGCAGGGTTTGAACCGGATAAAAACAACTGGGGTTGGAACTGGTTGGAGAGATGGATGGCAGTTCGTCCGTGGGAGAACCGGTTTCTTGACATTAATGTCAGAGATGGAGTGATAATCCATGAGAATGGATCAACAGAAGAAAAGAATGGCACCAAAGTCCAATCCAGATCTGCTGGGAAGAAATCTATTTTGTCAAATCTACAATCAAACACTCAGAAAACAGCTACATCTCATTCTGATGGAAAACCAAAACCTAAGCCATCTCAGGAGGAGCGGATTGGAGAAGCCAGTTCAAGACCTTCTGGGACTGGGCCTCGTTCATACAGCAATCCTAAAGAGAGACCAACTCAACAAGATTCTCAGGCAAGGAAGCGGTTGTCTCTTCCATCAAGTGGTAAGTATATATTTAATCTGGATGATTTGTTCCATGATTTTTTCCGTGCTTAAAACTGTCCATGCATAAAACCGCATTGAAATTCAGACTGCAATATAATCGACAAGAAGTCCATTTGTTCTCTTTTGGAGTACCTGCATTTGGATCAGGTTGGTCCAATATATTTTACCTTAGCTCTAACATATGTGCACTTGGAAGATATAGAGCATTTATGGTTTCCAGTAGATTGGATAAAATGTTCAATTTTACAATTTTCTTTTTATTTTTTCCCGGACGAGAGGAATGCATTCTGTTCAAATTGTAATATGCAGATTGCCATGTTTTTCTTCTAGTAACCCATGCGGGAAGCAATATGGTTCAACTACATTTGCTGCCATTATTTATGCAAGCAACTATATTTAATTACATCTCCACAGATTAATCGTTAAATCAGAATAATTGTGCACTTTTTTTTTTTGATTGCTTGATTTGGTATAATCACCAACAGTCACCAACAGGGCTCGGGGCACAAACAGCCAGGCATCCAAGTAGAACTGCTGTCAACAGGGCAATCGTCGCACAAAAGACTATCAAGGAAAAATCCAGGTTTAATGGAAGACATGATCCAAACACCACTGATACTGTTACACAAGGAGTTGATTAACAGATTTGAATACTCAATTTGAAGATGTATTCCAAAAACCGAGGAGACAAGAGGAGATGATCATCTGTTGTCATCTTGGTTTGTGTATATATAATTAGAGGTTCTTTCATCCGGGAAGGTGCAACAATACTGCTTCCATTCCCCGTAGTTGGATGGAGTTGCTGTAGCAGTAGTGAGGATACAGGTTGATTTTCGACCTGCAATGATAATATAAAGGGAATTGGTTATGGCTGTTGTAATTATTAATTTGGTGTTGTAAGTTGTAACTGTTTATTGAGTTTCAGAACCTGTAAGGGGACCAAAAGATGAGTTCACCTCCGTCACCAACTGTTGCCATCTGATCCTCTAGTCCTGGCAATTGATTTTTCATTGATTGTTATTGGCCCATGGCATGGTTTCAGTGGGGCATTCATTCTTGCGGATCTGAGCTGATTCTTTTAGTTTAATGGCATTTAATGGGTTTGTTAAACTATCAATCAGAGCCCAGTGGGCGATGGATTTTCAGAATTCAAACGACCGTATCATAGATTTTCCATTATTTTATAGAAGTGCTTGAGCCAGGATCCCTGTGAAATACATTAACTTGCCAAGTGTCCCATGCCCAGAAGGTCAGGGCCCGCCATAGAGTAGTGTATAATTCAATTTCTTTCTGGGCGTTATCATTCTATTATTGGTATTTTGATGCATGTAGAAGGTCTTCCGGTTTGGAACCACTGGGAAATTCCCAGTTGAATTTGATTGTAATTAATTTGTACCTTAATGTTGGTGCAGTTCTGTTGCAACAAATCCAAGGTCTCACCACTGTGTACGGTCTTTTAGCTAAAATCACATAAAATGTTTTAAGAGTGTGGACAAGACAAAGGTCATTTTCAGCCGTGCAAGTTTGGAAATTTTATTAAAAAGCCAAAGAAAGTAGAAGACTAAAGTCACTAAACAGAGGGCAGTATCCAGTAGACGATGGTTGCTGCTACCTGACTACAAGCCGATGTTGGACTGGCATCCCTCTCCTGTGTTTATGTGTGTCGGTGTATCACCAAATAACAAATGTCTACTTAATGATCAGATGTAATTGATTACAAGTTCATTTACTAATTTTCTTAAACCTAGAACATCCCTTGTCGTTTAATGAGTTTACTTAAACCTATCATATGATTTTCATTTTTACTAAAACACTCCCTGTAATTTGCAATCCTTTTACTTAATTGCCCTTTCACTAAGAATTGTTTGTTTTTCCATATGAAAATAATAATAACATGATCACCTAAACTGAGTGGAAAATGTTCAAAGGGCATGAGCCCATGATTGTTATTTCTACATATAAAAAACAAAATTGATTAAATAGAGCCAGATTAGATAATTGATTAAACAGAACCAGATTAGAAAGAGTGATTGCTCTAATATTTTCATTTTCATTTTCTTTTAGTTACATTTATTCAAATGGACATTAGTGTTAAAACTATTATTTTCCACTATCATCTCATGGAATATCAATTGAGTAACACGATTTTAAACTATAGAGGGTGTTTTAGGAAAATACAAATTATGGTATAGAGGTATAGTAAATCCATGAACCTACAGGGAGTGTTTTAATAAATGATCCTTGATATAATATATATAGTTATAAACAAGTATTTTTATGCTAAAATACGCACGGTATATTTGTCATGGGAAGAAAAGAATTAGGGAAATCGTATGGGAGCAGACAAATGGATGCTTGTGACATTTTTGTTCTCAAGTGCTCTCCCCCTTTACTTAAAAAGGGGAGAAGCAGTCAAGCAAGCAGAGGACTCTCTCTCTCTCTCTCCTTTTTTTTGCAAGCAAGAAAAAGAAAGGATAAGATCTCCGTCTCTCTAATGATATTTTAATACGGATGTGATGTGTAATGCCTGAAAATATACGTATTCCATATAAAATTGGGTCATTATTTTTTTGCTCCACCTGACTCTGACGGGTTGGATGACGGCAATTGTCAATAGTCAAGGATGAATAAGGAACGCCTCTCTAACGCTGTTAACTCTGATTGGAAGGCATCAATCAGATGAGGTCCCACCATCTTCATTTTCCCTTTGGGTCACTCATGACAATACTCCCATGCCCTCCTCCTCCTCCTCCCTCACCATCTCTATCTCTCCTCTTTCCTCTTCTTCTTCTTCTTCTTCCCTCCCAAGACCCAAAGGCAATCGCAAAAAGTACCGACACTCCACACAGCCCCCTCTTACCTTCTCTCTCACTAAGTCAATACAGCAAGAAACCCACCCTCATATTAAACTAATAAAACAGAAAACAAACAAATCCCTTCTCTTTATTCACTAATTCACCCATCCTCGTCAAACCCTAATCTCTCTCTCTCTCTGTATATATTATTCGATTTTTTTTTCTCTATTTCCTTTAGGCTTATCTCCTACAAAAACCCTTGATCCACGTTTGTTCCTTCTCAGTCCCGAAACAAGAAAAATAAGAAAAAAAGAAACAGAAGGGGAAGCAACAAGCAAGAACCCCCCTAATCTCCAATTCTCCTTGATGCTTCTTCTCTGAAATACCCAAAAGAGGGATCCCCCCCATTTGTCTTTTTTGATCCATTTCGTCTCTGATCATGTTTTCATCCCCATTTGTTTTGTCGTTCGCTCTCTTACTCTCCCTACCTCTGCTCTTCCTCCTAGCCCCTCGGATCCTCCCTCCGCGGCACCTCCCGATCTCTCTCCCCGACGAACTTGACGATCTCGCGCTCTTCCGTCGAGCCTCTCTCGCGGCCTCCGCCTCACATTCATCCTCATCGACATCCACTTTTTCCCGTCTGGGTACCACGAATCCTCCGCCCAAGATCGCTTTCTTGTTCCTCACCAACTCCGACCTCTTCTTCGCCCCTCTCTGGGAGAAGTTCTTCGATGGCAATCAGCATCTGTTCAACATTTACATCCACGCGGATCCATCTGTCAAATTGAATCCTCCCGGCGGCGTTTTCCAGGGCCGGTTCATCGCCGGAAAGAAGACCCAACGTGCCTCCCCCACCCTAATCTCCGCCGCCCGGAGACTTCTCGCCACAGCCCTTCTCGACGATCCCACCAATTCCTTCTTCGCTCTCGTCTCCCAGCACTGCATCCCACTTCAGTCCTTCCAATTCGTTTACCATTCCCTCTTCGCTTCCGCTCCCGTCAAATCGCCCTACGCCGACCCAGACGCCCCTTCGACTCGGTACGGGCAAGTTAGGTACCGAAGCTTCATCGAGATACTGTCAAAAGAACCCGGTCTATGGGAGAGATACACGGCGAGGGGGAAAGACGTGATGATGCCGGAGATACCCTTTGAGCAATTCCGAGTTGGGTCGCAGTTCTTCGTGCTCACGAGGCGGCACGCATTGTTAGTGATCAGGGATCGCAAGCTGTGGCGGAAGTTCAGACTACCATGTCTGAAGACCGAGTCGTGTTATCCAGAGGAGCATTACTTCCCAACTCTTCTCTCAATGGAGGATCCAAAGGGTTGCAGTCACTTCACGCTCACTCGAGTAAACTGGACTGGAAGCACCGGCGGACACCCACACACCTATCGACCGGCCGAAGTGTCACCTGAGCTTATCTACAAGCTCCGAGTTTCGAACTCGACTTACTCGTATTTGTTTGCTAGGAAATTTTCCCCGGATTGTCTGAATCCATTGTTGGAGATTGCCGACACCGTCATTTTCCGCGACTAATGTAAGCGCTGGTAATCTCTCTCTCTCTCTCTCTCTCTCTCTCTCTCTCTCTCTCTCTCTCTCTCTC